AAGTAAGTGACATAAAGTCTATGTTAACCAGTTTGATGAAAATATTTCAAATTGTATATGAAAACACTACACTGTAACCCATGTTTGCATTAATGTACACAGCTATCATTTAATAAAAAAAATATAAAGAGCAATATTACACACAGAAATGCATAGTATTTATTGGAAATAATATGTCATACATAGTCTAGGAGTGGAATGGTGGAGGAAGTGGTGATCTGGGAAGGGATGAAGAAGTATAATGACTTGACCCATGTGAACTGACACTATGATCCCTTGTGTATGAGCTTACTCCACGATCTTTAGGCAAAAGCGTAAAATCTCTGTTCCCTGATGCCCATTGTTTCTCTTAGGACTCATCCCATCCAAGCCCACAAGGACTCCATATGAGGCCGGTAAGAGACTATTTTATTGTTGGGGAATGAAATGTCTGAAGGAAGACTAAGAGTTATCGGATTGTGGGTCCTAAGGTAGAAGATTAAGAATATTAAGAGCTTTGATGTTTAGCAGGTAAAATGGGAGGGATTACAGCAATGGTGGGCTGGAGGCAGGTCATGTCACTTTGTCAGAGTCAGCTGTGTACATTTTCTCCAACTCCACTTGCAAGGACTTCATGTTGGTAGTTTGAGTGGAGAAGATGCAAACATTTTTACCAAAGAAGTTGCCAGACATTATAAACAGTCTCACCCCCACCGCACCACCACATTCACTTGTTTCATTCTTTTCTCTTCTTTCTTCCCTCCTCTCCCTTCCACTTCCCTTCTTTCTTTCCTCTAACCCTCTTTACTTTCCTTCTTTCTTCCTTTCTCCCTTTTTCTTATGTTGTTTTACACACCACCAGACCACTCATTAGAATGGAAATAAGGACTGTCTCAGTAGAATGGAAAATTCTTTCTGAGATGAGACAGTGGGGAGACTCTGGGCATCAGGACCATTTTAAGTTTTCAGTGTACTCAGGGGCCCCAGGCCCTTCTAGAGAAGAGCCCACATTGGCACCAGTTCCTGACTACTGTCAACATCTGAGGCATTTAAGGGGCTCATTCCTAGCAAACTATAGGTGTCTTTGTTGTGCAATTACATTGGGCTTCAGTGTGCTAGATTGTGGGGGTACACAAATAAAGGAAAGACAATTCTCAGGCCTCAGAAAGAACACGATGAAATGGGGAACATGGGTTGCTAATGAGATATGCTCATATCTGCCAGTTAGATGCTCAGATGATTAGATTTCTTGTGAAGGCAGAGAGAAAGGAGTGACCTATTGGATGCCCGGTCCAGCACATTTCTGGCATCCTGGTGGACTATGAAAGTGCCCTGAGTTGGGGCACCTGGCTCAGCAACACAAATCAAGGGACAGGAACTTGTCCATGGGGCTTAAGGTGCTTGGATGAGGGCTGCAGAAACCTTCCAGGGACATTTGAGATATCATTGAAGTGACCTTGAGTTACACACTCTAGTTCTTGTGACTTCAGAGAACGGCCCCCAGGAGGCAAATTCCTCAGTTTGTGTTCTCTTTCTACCCAGAGAAAAATCCTCTCTGCTACTCCCAAAGTATCCTATGTCTGTCAGCTTCTATAAACTGGTTGTCTTCAGCTTCTCTTGTAAGCTACTTGAATATCATTTGCTTTATCTTGATTTCCTTTTCTTATGATTTCTTTGTCAGCACAGTGGTGCACATACTTTCCCATCAGCCCTCTATGGCATTTCCACATCTACTCTGATTTCTTCCATCGCCTCCTCAGAGGACTGTATATTCTCATGGTGGTTGCATGGTCATAGTCTGACCTAGTGGTAACTGTCAACAGCAGACACATCCTCGGAAGCCTCTGCTGGGCTCTGTTCACGTGAGTTTATTTTCAGTACTGTTTCAGCCATTTCTTAGGGGTAGTACAGCATTGAGAATAGGAGTGCACTTTCCTTCTCTGGAAATCACATCTAAAGGTAAGGAAAACAAAACCAAGATAGCAAGGGAACAAATGGTTATGCACACTTACTATGTGCTAGGCATTGAACCAGGCACTGAATAAATGCAAAGGTACAGACAATAGTTTGTGTTTCTTCATTTCTTTGACCCCTAAACTTCTCAGTCCCTGCATTCTGCACCAGGCTCACATCCTGCAGGTACAGATGGAGGTAAACAGCCAGCTGCAGGGGGTGTGGAAAGGTTAGGATGTGAGGTTCACCTTGAGAGTGAAAAGTCATTCCTTTTAGAAATAACAATTCTTGCCTTTTCAGAGGAATGGTAAGACATCTATCCACTAAACCCACTGCATTTCTTCTAGAATCTGGAAGTTTAGTATTTTGTTTTCTCTCTTTTCTACCACCTCACATAGCTTGGGCTCATGTGCCGTCTTTTCACGTTAGCACCTGTCTCCTCATTCTGTAGTAGCCTTGAGTTTCTTAACTTCTCAGGCTTTAGGTGGCTTAGATGTAGTGTACATAAGTATTTTATATCTTTGTCAGAATAGATCCTTGTTCTTTTTAGAGACCTCAAGTAAACAAATATCATAAACTGATGTAATTTTAATCATAAATAGTAATAAGACTTTTAAAATAGTATCCCTGCTCTTTGTTTTGTGGGAAAGGAGAGAAAACACAGGTATCTGTTAAGAGTGTGCCTTTGTTCCCTACCCTCACTTCCCCCCAGCCCAGCCCTACCTTCAAGCCCTGTCAGGAAAGCTTCTAAATTTCATCAGTTGAGCAAAGTGTCTTTTAGGGACTCATTTCTCAGATAAGGAAACTATGTGTAGTAAATTTTAAAAGCTTCAGATTCCAGCTCTATTCTTTGAGTTGTGACAATATACCTGATCCTCAAATACATATTTTGAAAAGTTGATGATCAAAATACCTCCTGGTCCATGATGGGAGAAGAGATTAATGTTGTGCCACAAGGAACATTTTTACGTCTGTGTCTATAGGTGCTGTAAAAGGTTGCTTTCTTGTCCTTATTTCATTGTGAGAATAATGCATCAATACATCAGTTTTCCTTAGTAGAGTAAACACTTCACTGTCTCACTGAGTTCTAGTCTTTTTTTTGTTGTTGTTGTTGAAGTTTTTGGCTGGGGCTGGTTTGGAACCCACCACCTCCAGCATATGGGGCCGGTGCCCTACTCCTTGAGCCATAGGTGCTGCCCAAATTCTAGTCTTTCATATCTTTTCCATCCTTTCTCTTCTCCACTTAGCTGCAAGATAAACATATCCAAAATGCTTTCAAAACTTATTATGGCTGATCATTTCTCCTCTACATGATGAAGTTGGTATTTGGAGCCAATCTATTTTGTCATTTTCTTTTCCAATTACTGAAATTGCACCACCACAACCCCACAAAACTGAATGTTGCTTTAAATATATTCTCCTTTTTTGTGCCAAATAGCTATTAAATTTTGGAACCACTTTCCTGCATTACTAGTTTATTTCCGAGGCTAGGTTCAGATATGAACTCCTTTTTTGGGTTGCTATTGCAGTTGAAAAAGGCAGATTTAATTGTGGATATTCTTTGATAACAACTCCCAAACTTGACAAGAGGTAGTTTCTTTTCTTTCTTTTTGAATTGCATCTTTTAAAAACAATTATTTTTACTTGGCTAATGATAATTACATATATTCATGCAGGACACTGTGATGTTTTAATATATTTATACTTATAAAATGATTAAATCAAGCTAATTAACATATCCATCACCTCATATGCTTATTTTTTTAATGATGAAAACACTTAAAATCTACTTTCTGAGAAATTTTGAAATATTATCAAATTATTATTAACTATATTCATGATACTGTGCAATAGATCTCAAGAAATCACTCCTTCCGTCTTACTGAAACTTTATACCCTTTGACAAATATCTCCTCATTCCTCCCACCCTCTCCAGCCCCTGGTAACCAACATTCTGCTCCCTGGTTCTATGAATTTGACTTTTTCAAATTCCAAATATGTGTGAGATCATGCAGTATTTGCTTTTCTTTGCCTAGCTTATTCAGATATATACTTTCTTTGGGGGGGGTTAGGATAAGGGTATATACAAATAGATTAAATTATTTGGATATGGAAGATGGCTAGATTAATAATAATTAGATTATTATCTAATAATTTAATAATTAGATTTAATTATTTGTATGTCCAATGGCTAAGTTGTAGTTGAGTCCTTCACCTAGGACTCATATGTCATATGCCCCACATTGTACCCAATAGGTAGAAACTTACTGAGCCTCCTCCCCACCCACCTTGCTTGAATTTAATTGTGTTTTTATCTCATATGGGCCTGTAGTTGTTGACCTACTACTTTCAGATTAGTACTGAGTACATAGATTACTTGCTTTTCCATTCTTGAGATACTCTGCTGAGGAGAACGTTCTCCAAATCCATCTGCGTAAATACAAAAGATGTAAAGTCTCCATCTTTTGATGGGTGAATAATATTCCATGGTATACATATACCCACAGTTTATTAATCCACTCATGGATTGATAGGCACTTGGGTTGTTTCCACATCATGGCGATTTGGAATCAAGTTGCTATAAACCTTAGAGTGCCAATGTTCTTATGGTAAAATGATTTTTTTTCTTTTGGTTAGATACCTAGTAATGAGATTGTGGGATCAAATGGGAGGTCTACTTTTAGTTCTTTGAGGTTTCTCTGCACTTCCTTCCAAAAAGGCTGTATGACTTTGCAGTCCCACCAACAGTATGCATTTGTTCTTAAGTTCATTACAAATGTGAACAGTGAGAATCACTCCTATTGTTTCCAGATTAAAATATTCTTGAATCACTAATGCGTTAACTTCATCATTTTATTTTTTTAGTTATATAAATGTCTATCATATTTCTGAGATTAGGCTCTCATTCAGTAAACAAACCACGTTATTCATCTTTATATATCATAGTTATTGGCACACTTAGCATGGAATAGAATCTTACAGGTCTAAAAACCCATGTTCACATGAACAAAAATCTTTGAGTGTAACCTGAATTTTCTTCTTTGTTAACAGGACGTGAAGTTCCAGGCATGACTACCAGAAACCACACTGGTGTCAGACACACAGTCTTCCGTTTGCTGGGCATTCCTGGCCTAGAAGACCAGCACATGTGGATTTCCATCCCCTTCTTTGTTTCATATGTTACTTCCTTGCTTGGAAACAGCCTGCTCATTTTCATTATCCTCATGAAGCGCAGCCTCCATGAGCCCATGTACCTCTTCCTCTGCATGCTGGCTGGAGCAGACATTGTCCTCTCCACATCCATGGTCCCACAGGCCTTGGCCATCTTCTGGTTCCGTGCTGAGGAGATCTCCCTGGATTGCTGCATCATTCAGCTCTTCTTCATCCACTCCACCTTCATCTTTGAGTCAGGCATCTTGCTGGTGATGGCGTTTGACCGCTACATTGCCATTTGCTACCCACTGAGGTACACCACTATTCTTACGAATTCTGTGATTGGGAAAATTGGTGTAACCATCTTTCTCAGAAGTTATGGCACAATTTTTCCCATAATATTTTTAATAAAAAGACTCACATTCTGCAAAGGCAATATTCTCCCAAACACTTGTTGTAACCACATTGTCTTGGCCAAAGTTTCCTGTGATGACATCAGTGTAAATATCTGGTATGGCTTTTTTGTCCTAATGTCAACAGTGGTCTTAGATTCTGTGCTGATTTTTATTTCATATGTGGTGATTCTCTGTGCTGTCTTCCACATCCCTTCCCAAAATGCTCGCCACAAAGCTCTCAACACTTGTGGCTCCCATGTCTGTGTGATCATCCTCTTTTATGGGCCTGGCATCTTCTCAGTCCTTGCACAGCGTTTTGGGCATCACATCTTACCCCATGTCCAAGTTCTGCTGGCCAGCGTCTGCTTTCTGGCTCCACCTTTGCTGAATCCCATCATTTATGGGGTCAAGACCAAACAGATTCGGGACCAAGTGGTACACGTGTTGTTTACAAAGTAGAGACAATTTTGATGTTGGAAGCTGACATTCTTTTTCCTTAGCAATTTTTCTCAAGTATGTGGTGATCTTTATTGTCACTATATGGCAGCAGGCAAGAAACCAGTACATGACTAAAGGTGTTGCTATTCCTAGAGCATTTGCATCAGTGAGGTTTGGTACATGTTTCTTCAAAGCTGCTAATATGTCCTTAAATATCTGTGTTGAGGGCTTAATTCACTTGTACAATAAACAAGTAGATCCAGTAGCCTTTCTAAGTCTCTCTTGCTCTATAACCCTGAAGAATTGGGTGAGATAAATCTAAGTCAGTGGGAATAATGCTGAATAAGTCTTTCCTATTGTGTTTTACGGTTTGAACAGCTTTAGTCCAGTGGGCTTAGAGCTTAGAACTTTCTTCTGTTATGTCCTCTGTGTCTTCAAGTTTCAAATTTTTCCTTTTTTCTTTTTGTCTAGGGTATTGTGGCATGATCACTGTAACCTCAAACTCCTGGGCTGAAGTTGTCTTCTTGCCTCAGCCTCCCAAGTAGCTAGGATTTTGATGTGTGCTACCATTATTGGCTAAATATCTTATTTTTTATTTTTAGTGGAAATAGTGTCCCTCTAGAATAGTGCTAGAATTACGGGCATGAGCCACCATGACTGGCCAAGTTTTTGCTCTTTATAGTTAATTCCCATTGCTATTTCTCTAATGTAAAAGCACAATAATATGAAACAAAAATTTTAAAATAATCCTTGTCTTTAGCTACTACTTCATTTCTCTTTTCCATCCAGAAGAAAGCACCTTGAATAGTAGATCTTCACGCAGGCATCAAAATTTGCCCTCACTTCTCTTGTCCTTCTTCCACTTCCACCCACACCATGTTATTAAAACTTCACTTGGCCTTTTTTCTTTTGAGTTTATCTTTGTGCTTATTCCAACTTCTATATGAAATATGGGAATTGAGAAGAATGTGTTTTGACTCCATCCAGGTTATTTCAAAAGTATCTCAAGAATGGGAAACAAGAATCCAATGTACTTAATACTAATATGAAGCCAGTAGTTGATCTAACACATGCTCATATAACAGAAAAACTCAAATCAATTCAAGGTGTGAGGCAGAGGAATGAGGTAGCTGGGAGAGCGGAAAGGGAGGGGGATGGCTGTTCTCCCACTTCATGGGTACAGTATTAAGGTATATGATACAGCTCTTAGAGGTAGGACACAATTATAAAAGGCACTCTACCTAAAAATGCAATCATTATAACTTAATTTTTTGTATCCTCAAATTAAGCTGAAATAATAAAAGAAATTATTTTTAAAAAGAAATATAGATGCCAAGAAGAAAGCACTATCTTTTTCTTTCTTTCTTTCTTTTTGAGGTACATAAGCTCTACAAGCTTTCTTGAGCTATATAATTAAATAAGGCCAGCTTGGGATAACTATTTAAATGGCATTTTCTGAAGCATCTTCCTCATCAATTTTTAGGAAAAATTACTTATTTATATTAATTTAATAATAAATTTCACACTTTCGAATTAATGGTCAAAATTTATCCTTACCTTTATTCAATATAATAACAGCATTTTCATAGTTCTCCATTGAAAGTATTTCCTCACTCCACTTTCCTTGTATTCCTATGGTCTTTCTGGATGTCTACTTAGGCTTCTTTGGTGTGTTTTCCTCATCTTTTTAACTTAAATTCATGGGGCTTGGCCCTTGAACCCCTACTCTTCTCCATCTACATTTGATCTCTAATCTCATCCATTTTTATGGAATTAAATCCATCACTATTCTGGGTCCTTCCAAATGTGTATCTCCAGGATCTAATTACATCCACAGAGGCATATTTCTAATTTGTGTTTAACACCTCTATTTGCATACCTAATAGGCATCTCAAATGTAGTATATATGAAATAAAACTTATTCCTTGACTCTAAACTTCACAACCTTCCTCTTATTATTTAAAGAAATTTTTATTTTCTAATTTGTTCAGGCCCATCCTCAGTTCTTCTCTCTCTCAAACACAACATCACTCAGTATCTTCATACTGGGCTCCCTCTTTATGCCTTTGCACTTTCCACACACAAAACATATTTTCGTTCTATAGATGATAAAGACAATAAAAGGAACCAAAAAGAAAATGGAAAGACAGAACCAAAAGCCAGACACAAGATATGTAGAGTATAGAAAGGATATAGCGGAACTTAAGGAAATGAAGGAGACAATCAAGGAATATAAAGATGCAATGGAAAGTATCAAAAGTATGTTAGACCACGGAGAATAAAGAACCTCAGAATTAGAGGATGAAGTTTTCAAGTTAACCAAGGTAGTTAAAGAGGCAGAAAAAGAGAGAAAGAACAGGCACTTAGAGAACTATAAGACTTTATGAAGCATTTAAGAATATGAATAATAAGGATTCAGGAAGGGGAAGAAGATTGTACTAAAAGAATGGAAGCCCTACTGGAGAATATCATAATTGAAAACTTCCCAAGTTTTACTAAAGACTGTGACACACTTCTTTCAGATGGATATCAAATACTGGGTAATTACAACTCATAAAAAAGCTTCTCCAAGACACATTGTGATGAACCTGTCAAAAGTCAAGACCTAAGAAAAAGGGGCGGGGGGCGGAGCCAAGATGGCGGACTGCAGCCAGGTTTTACAGAAGCTCCCATCCAGAGGAAGGCTTAAAGGACAGAAATTTAGCAAGAGAGCTGATGGTTTGGAATGGAGCCAAGAGAGAAGATTGAAGAGCGCACTTCAACCTTCCTGAGGTGAGCTGTGACCCCAAAAATAAAATCAAAAAGTACAAAATCCACCACCAAGCAGATAGGAGTCCCCTCCCCCACAAGAAGGGCTTGCAGTTTACTCCATGCAAACAAGTGAGCAGAGTTCAAACATCCCACTCTATCCCATAGGAGAGACTCCCTAAAAACTGGACTTCCTACCCCTGCTGGCATGCCACGGCACCTGCAACATTGAACTCCAAGGATTCCCCTCCCCACCCTGAGATCTGGAGGTTTGTTACCTACAGAGTCCAGATTCTTAGGCATCTTCTTGAGAGAAGTGGAGGAGGAAAGGGCTGGTGCTACTCTGTGCTGACTGTGGCACAGGAGTGAGGAGAAGAAAGTTGGCTCGGAGGAAGTCATACAGCAACAGCGGCATCCTGAGCTGCAAACTGATGCCCTTCTAGATAGGCGAGCCCCGTCTCTCTGGCCAACCAGAGGTTCTGGACAACAGCCACAGGCCCACACACAGGCTGAAAGGACTTGGTAACTTTTGTAAGTAAAGAGACCATTAGCACCAGCCCTCATAGGAATCTCTGAAGGTGATGAAGTTGTTTCACAAAACACAGACCCTCTTCTGTATGAAATTATGAAAGAGAACTTTCCAGACATGCCAAGAGATTCTGAAATTCAGATTGCAGACAGCTTCAGAACCCCAGCACAACTCAACCTGAATAAGACAGCCCCCAGACACATCATAATGAACTTCATAATTAACTTTCAGTTAATATGAAAGAGAAAATCTTGAAAGAAGCAAGACATAAGAAAACCATAAACTACAAGGGGAAGAATATTAGAATAACTGCAAATCTCTCTGCCAAAACATTTCAGGCAAGAACAGGGTAGTCATTGACATTTAATCTCTTAGAAAAAAATAACTTTCAGCCCAGGATCCTGTATCCAGGTAAACTGAGTTTCATTTATGATGGAGAAATTAAATACTTTAATGATATTGAAGAAATCATTAGAATTGAAGCAATTGAAGAAATTCTTCATTAGCATTGAAGAAATTTGCCATAACTAAACCAGCTCTCCAGGATATTCTCAGACCTATTCTCCATAATGACCAGTGCAATCTTCCACCACAAAAGTAAACTAATTAGGGGCGGAGCAAAGATGACAGACTACAGCCAGCTTTTTACAGAAGATCCCGTCCAGAAGAAGGCTTAAAGGACAAAAGATTAGCAAGTTAGCTGATGGTTTGGAACACAGCCAAGAGAGAAGATTGAAGAGTGTACTTCAACATTTCTGAGGCGAGCTACTACCCCCAAAATACGACTAAAAGGTACAAAATCCACCACCAAGTGGACGGGAGTCCCTCTCCTACAACAAAGGCTCCCAGTTTACTCCATGCAAACAAGCGAGCAGAGTTCAAACTTTCTCCCACTCTATCCCACGGGAGAGACCCCCTAAAAACTGGACCTCCTACCCCTGCTGGCACGCCACAGCACCCTCCGGCCAGGCATGAAACTGTAAAACTGTATAAAACTGTATATATTCCCCACCTGCAACATTGAACTCCGAGAAGTCTCCACCCACCCACCCACTCCAAGGTCTGGAGGTTTGTTACTTAATGGAATCCAGATTCTTGGGCATCTCCTTGAGAGAAGTGGAGGGGGAAGGGGCTGGTGCTGCCACAGGCAAAATGCAGAGAACTTTCATAAGTAAAGCACCAGCCCTCAGGGTCTAATCCCCCTGAGACAAAGGCAGTGGGTGGGCAGAGGCTAGAATTGACACCTGTTTGTAAATTGCTATTTGTCTGCTGCCCAGAGTTGAATGCAAGGACATGCAGAGAAATCTAGCTGGACAGAAGCCTAATTTAAAAACACAAGGCCTCCCTGCCAAACTCAGATTTCTGGCTGATTTTGCCAGTCATAAACCCCAGGAGCAGTGGCCTACTGGAGTGAATAGGGTCACAGACCTGAGGGATTACGAGTGACTGGGTGCAAGGTGGGGAAGGAGGTATTAACTTTCCCAGACTAAGCCATTTGCTGGGTGGGTTCCTTTGCCCTCATGGAGCAGACAGGCCCAAAACTGCTTGCTAGAGTCACAGCCTCACAGGCAGAGGAGATCCCTGCCCCAGGCTCCAGCTCTAGGCAGGCCGAGAACTGCTTACAAGTGCCATGGGCATCCCATGGGCAGTGGCGGAGGAGACCTCTGTTCCAGGTGGACTCAAAACAGCTTGCTAGAGACACGCACAGCCCATGGGGGCCAGGGGCCTAGAACTGCTTGCTAGA